AATTTTTTTTTTGACTAATAGTTTCTTTCCAATGCCAATATTGGCAAACCTGGAAAAATATTAGTTGCTGTTTAGATTAAAGGTACTAAAATATGGCCAGACTGTCATTCTGTAAAAGAAAATTTAAAATGCAATTAGCTCCTGCAGTGAACTGGTGACTAATTTGTACATAGTTTTTAAACATTTTTTTTTTTTAGAGATACTCCTCTTAACCAGTTTAGTTCAAATTGATTTCATTTCAGTTCCATTCATTTCAACTCATGTATTTTATTTTATTGATGCCAAAAGGAAATAAAAATTGTTGGGACACTCTGCTGCTGTTTAGAAGCTAAATGTAGATTTCCAGCCACCCAACACTCTGGAGCGCAATAATTACCTGATATTAAAAGTCAAAGCCGCCATAAGATAATTCTGGGTTATAGTTATCAAGTAGGCTACCCAGCATCACTCCTTAATTAGCATATTTCAGTCTGAATTTGAGAACATCACTGGCGGTAATTCCGATCATTCCAGGGTGAAGCAGAAATTATAAAAGTGATAAATATTTTTGTCTGCAAAAGAATATCTGAGGATATTTATGCATATAGGATTAGTTTATTTTAAATGTATAAAAAATATTAAAAAATGAGATACTGAGGAGTTGTACTGTATCAGACTATGGTTCTCACAGCTAATTTCCAACATTAGTCCCTGAGACAGACAAAAGAATAAGATTGTCTATATACACAATAGCATAATTACTTTCTATAAAATTTCTATAGAGAGAAATGTTATAGAAAAAGTAATCTCTGTCTATTTTGTTTCTGTATATCAGTTAGAGTTTGAAGGAGGCATTGAAGGATACTAATATCACCGGTAAGATGGGATTTTTTCTAAAAAATTTTGCAAAAATCTATTCGTCAATGATTTAGTAATTTGACTTGACCCCAATTATATGTGCTCCTCTCAACTAGTCAATGTGTCTTGGAACCATCATCCCTCCAAAGTAAAGGCATGTCATTGCTCCCTCCCTGTCTTTCTCCATTAAACTAAAATAACTTCCCCAACCATCTGTCACTGAGCTCACAGGTCTTCTGTTGCTAAGGAACAAGTCAGACACCCATGTTCATGTTTGCAGCCTCATATGATTTTACAGTATCTACATATATATTTGCTTCAACAATCACAGGTAGTAATTTGCATTATTGTCACATGTGCAGCAAGGAAAACGTATGTGAGAAGACCTGTTGCTCTGCAGAGTATGAGGGTAAAATAACCAGTAGCTCTTATAATAAGAGATATACATATTGTTAGGGGTATGAATTGTAATTACAGACAATTCTCTGTCATTACTCTAGGTTGAATAAATGACCCAAGTTATTAACTGGATGCCAATCCTTCAAAGACATTTGCAATAATTAATTTAAAGGCTTTAATAATTGATTTATTTCTACCGCAAATAATGGCTGAGTTATGTGTCTCGGTTTGCAACCGTCAATAAATTTATCTGACAGCAAACCACACCCAGGCTTACGTTAGTTATTTGAGGAAGAAGCTAATCATTGTTTGTACACACGCTTGGCTGGAAGCTGCTTACTCAGAGCATCTCAAATTAAATTTCATGGCCTTTTGTTTTTTAGCAAACAGAAGATCAATCTGACGGAGCGTCGATCAGAGGTCGTAAAAGGCTGTTTCAGAATGATTGACGGAGACATTTCTTTAAATTTAGTAAACCTAAAGATCAGATGAGTTTATATCAATATAACATTTCGTTTGACTTCTAATCATGTCATAAATTTATTATTTTGCTCTTATTATTTTAAACATAAAAAGAGAGGGGTTTAATTTAAGTAAAAAAATATTTTTAAAAATTAACAATTTGACACAATTATAATTTACAGCTTGACGTAAGGTTTTAAGCGGGAAATAAAATTTTAATTATTTATATACACATTTTACTGCCATTGTTCACATTCAGTCCAGCAAAAATCCAAATATTATATCACAAAAAATGCTTGAGTAAAATATCATAGATCACCCATTAAATGACCTACAAAGATTATTCATTTTAGACTTATATTTAGACAAACTTTATTGTCCTTTTGTATACACAGTGTATACAAAACAAACTTTCAATGCGTACAGCTTTCAACAGTAAATGAGCAGCTTAGCAGTGAAATTAACATTTCCATTTATAAAGTGCAGCAGTGATTAGAATGTAAACAGTATAATAGGTGCAAAAAGGCATTGAAATGGAAAGGTTCAATGCAGTGCAATTAAATAAATATGATGCAAAATGCAACAGAACCAGGAGTTTTGTTCTAGTTAAAATGATTATGGAGAAATCAGCCATGTAGTGCAAATTTGATGTTTACAAGTCCTGTGCTGAGATTAGGATTTATATAATTGAAATGTATCGATCTCTCATTGGAGAAATTTCCTCCATCCCTTTGGGGAGCAGTGGGCTGCCATTGTGGGGCACCAGGGGGAGCAATCAGGGGTTAAGGGTCTCTTTTAGAGACCCAGAGTGAAACTGAGTGAAACTGGTTGAAACTGAACTAGGCCACAATAATCTCAGGACAAAGTAGGAAAGGATATTGCTGCTGCAGGTTTGGCCTTAAATAAGCAATTTCTCACATAACAAGAACTTTAAAGAGAGGAGCTCACTCCATTGACTGTTCATCAAATCCTAGATAAGACCAAAAATGGTAAAAAAGCATCTCCTGACAGGATTCAGCAAATTAATGGGATTCCATCAGTGCATAGTTTGCCCTTCTGCAGTACCTTCAAACGGGAAAAAAGTTTTTTGAATCAAGGAAATTATATGATAAAAACTGCTTTTCTTAAACACTATTATGCTACAGAGAAATTCCAAAAAAATGGGAACAAAGTTTTTGCTAAGCCAAACTTCTGACTTTTTCCAAACTATTTAGTAGCTACAACTGAGGCACTGAAGCAGATAAAAGTTTTAATGCTAAGAATTAAAATACAGCTATGCTATTTTGCAGCAGCTGCGGTTTGCCAAAAACATGTCAACTAGAACTAACTCTTTTATTGGTTGGAGTGTTTCAGCAGCAAGCAGAATGAGACTTTTTCCACATAAAATGTTTGGCCTGATTTCAAATTGTTTGATATCAGCAGTTTAGTGAAGCTAGTTTGGATATGGATAAGTTTACTTTTAAATATAAAACATCACTAATTACCTATTAGGAGGCATGCTTTATTTTGTCCTTAATCACATGTTTAATGAGGCATTAGATTAAGAACAGAAATCACTATCCAAGGTGTTTTATTAGATAAACACAACATTGCACCTTGCTCATCTTTATTGCTCTAGTTGTTTGGTGGCATGCCGCGTTGTAGGAACATAAAGCAAGTATTTACAAAAATGTTTGGTAGCCCAGTGGTTCATTTTAGTTATAAGCATAAACAGGGAAGGCAGGAAAGCTTTTATTCATATCTGTTCCGGATTTTGTTATTTTTCAAACCTTAATTTGTAAGTCAAAGCTCACACAGGCAAATTTACCCAATATTTCAAAATAAGAGATTTTAAAAATAAGTTGTCTAACATCAGATCAGTCTATATTCTTTATGTCTAGGTTTATATTTCTCTTAAAACTTTATTGAAGAGACTTAAAAATTATTTTCCAAGATTGACCACAATGTTAAAGGATTTTTGGTCAAGGTTCAACACAGAGTAATGCACTATAGACCCAGGGAAAATGAGAGCAGATGCTAAAGTTTTTTTATTTATTGTTTTTATTTATTTATTTTATTTTTTTTTTTACAAAAAATGCTGCATCTCTTATCAAGCCTTTGCTCACCATGGGTGTCAGTTTACACAAATGGTCATTGCTCTGTGTGAAGTTTTTACCTTTTTATTTTCAAATGGATTAATGAATTTAACAGTAAGATGTTCAGAGCTTGGAATGCTGTTTTATAAACCAAATATGTTTTAAACTTCTCGGTTGTTTTACCTCCAACCTGTCCGCTGTGCTGTTTCTCAGTAATCAAAATAAAATTCCTAAACAGATTTAAGAGCTTGAACGAGCAGATTTTTTAAATATAATTTAAAGAAATCCCCTACACAGTATCTATTGGTAGTAGAACTATGATTTTTTTGAGTATTATTCTGACAGATGGATTGATATAAGAGTATGCCATATTTTTTATTATTATTTGCAAAATAAACATTAAACCATGAATGATTCCTGAAGTCTCTTTATAATTTTCTTCTATTTTTAGTAATGAGCGTGTATCGCATGCAGTCAGAATGAGTCACATTATAGTCTGAAGAAATGTAAAACACAATTGTCCAAGACATTTAATGCACATGCACAATATGTTAAAGTCAATTAACATTACGCATTCAGTTGTGCAAATGAATGTAAGAAAGTTTGTAAGTTTTTATACACTTTGTCTTGAGTAAATGTGGGTTTCAATTACCTTTAAATATTACCAACATTTTTCTTTTAAACTGTTGGACAGGAAAAAACCCACAGCCCTGACTACTGAGAACAATATTTGGATTTAGACTTCAAAAATTTAAAGCTCAGTGAAAATATCAACTTTCAAAATAACAGTTTAAATACACACAATTCTGTGCAATATTTATAAAAAGGCATTGATTGTGGATTGTCAAAAGGCAACAACACATTTCCTTATTTCAGCCATTACTTAATTATAATTTCCTTTTTTAAATATTGTCAAATTATGTCTGATATATAGTTTCTTAATATATTGTAATAAAGTCAGATTACGCTTTTAATTGCTATTCCTTTTACACTTTTTCTTTCTTTCTTTCTTTCTTTCTTTCTTTCTTTCTTTCTTTCTTTCTTTCTTTCTTTCTTTCTTTCTTTCTTTCTTTCTTTCTTTCTCAACTTGCACACACACCCACATACATAGTATTCAGAGCCCACCTGTCTCTTCCTGCGGTGAGGGGTGTCGGTGCGGCTCCGCGGGGAGCTCATCATCACCACTTTAAGACGCACCACAGAGGGAGCGCACACAAGGAGCACAGGGAGTACCTTGTTACACCGAAGGGAAACACTGTGCCGATCTTTGCTTACTGTCTTAAAAAGACTCAACTGAATTTTGAGGGGAAAAACGTCCTCTAAGTTGGAAAAAAGTTTATTTGAAGCTAATGCGACCTTATCCGACTGAGGTAATTTGCAAGATGGTTGCGATCATTACGCACGAACGGAGCTACTCTCAATGTTTGTCAGGACAGTTGTAGATCAAAAGCGTATAGTTTTGTCTTTCTTTTGACTTTTGTTTGAAGATTTACATAAAAATCCTCATTTGGATTCCAAGTTCTGACTGAGACTGTGCGCCACTGAAGTGGAGTCCTGTATTTTGGAGCTGAAAACCCGCAAGGAAGTATGAATGCTTCTCTTTTCAACATGACCCATGGCGCGCTGTTTAACGGGAGCCAGACCCTCGCTGAAGCTTTGGATACGTATTCAAATAACAGCTCAGACATGGTGATGACCGGTGACGGCGGAGGGTCCCTGGTGCTGCTGCAGGATGAGCGCAAACTCTTTGTCATGCGTGTGGTCCAGATCGCGGTGCTGTGCGTCCTTTCCCTTACAGTGATGTTCGGCATTTTTTTCCTCGGATGCAACCTGATGATCAAATCAGAGAGCATGATTAACTTCCTGGTGAAGGACCGGAGACCTTCCAAAGACGTAGAAACTGTAATGATTGGTCTCGGCTAAAGGGCAGAACTCAGACACTGTGGGAGACCCAGAACGGGGATCCGGGGCGGATTTTAGGATCTGCATGTGCACGGAACAATCGAAGATGCTTGATTTGTGTCAAGATTGACGATATGCAAAGAAACTTTACATTTCCTTCCAAAAAAAAAAGAAAGAAAAGAAAACAAACAGGGAAGTATTCCTAAACGACCAATGTTTGTGCGTAAAGTTCGTGCGTAAACCCAATGGCAGTTGTTTACATGTTTAAAACGATGTATTACATATATGGAGTGCTTTTAAAATTGCCAACTTAAACAAAGTAACACAACGTTTACGAACTGTTACCTCATGTTTCTTCTTTCTTTTAAAACGATTACGTTACAAATATCTCTAAGCATGGTTATTTCTTATCGCCCAACGCCTGCCAGTGTAATCCATGGACATGATGTAGGTATTTTCTTAAGACAAAGTATTTTCTCGGTTTTAATCAATGAAAACACTTTTAAAGGCCGATTTTTGTAGATTATTTTAAAATATTAAAACTCCTTAACAGCTTGATGGAGTGATTGTATACTTGGCATGCTCGCGGACTCATCCAAAAAGAGTGATTTTTGACACGTTTTGCACTTTTAAGACTGCTGCATGAAATATTTTGTACTAAACTGTTTAAACTGCAGCATGCAATTAAATATTGAAATTCACTTTCCTGCCTTGTCTTCTGTTACTGGATCTTGTTTCCAAACAGATTGTTCAAAAGCTTCACACAATATGGTTAGTATTTCCTTTTTTGAATAGATTTCAGATTATATATATATATATATATATATATATATATA